GCGTTGACTGGCGTTGACCTAGGGTTACGCGTTGACCGGCGTCGACCCTAGGGTTTCGAGCGTCGAACTTTGACTTTTTGGTCGCAACGCGTTGACCTAGGGTTACGCGTTGACCGGCATCGACCCTAGGGTTTCGAGCGTCGAACTTTGGCTTTTTGGTTGCAACGCGTTGACTGGCGTTGACCTAGGGTCACGCGTTGACTGGCGTTGACCCTAGGGTTTCGACTCGTCGAACGTTGACTTGTGTGGATTTCGCATCCTCGAACGTTGACTTTCGTTGCAACGTGTTGACTGGCGTTAACCTAGGGTTACGTGTTGACCGGCGTTGACCCTAGGGTTTTGAATCGTCGAACGTTGACTTGTGTGGATTTCGCATCCTCGAACGTTGAATTTCGTTACAACGCGTTGACTGGCGTTGATCTAGGGTTACGCGTTGACCGGCGTTGACCCTAGGGTTTCGAATCATCGAACGTTGACTCGTGTGGATTTCAAATCATCGAACGTTGACTTTTGTTGCAATGCATTGACTGGCGTTGACCTAGGGTTACGCATTGATCGGCGTTGACCTTAGGGTTTCGAATCGTCAAACGTTGACTTTGGTCGCAACGTGTTGACTGGCGTTGACCTAGGGTTACGCGTTGACCGGCGTTGACCCTAGGGTTTCGAATCGTCGAACGTTGACTCGTGTGGATTTTGTCGAAACGTTCAAACAATCGACGAAAATGGACGAAATCGGGTCTCAAAAGGGAATCCGGGGGCTCGAAATTGAGTTAAGACACCCAAGGGGTGTCTCAACAAAACCGAGACACCATTGGGGTGTCTCGGTTTTGCCGAGACACCCTTGGGGTGTCTCGGCAAAGCCGAGACACCCCTTGGGGTGTTTTGGCCAAAACCGTGGTCCCCCCCCTCTCTTTTTCTTTCTTTTGAATTTCTTTCCTCTTTTGTTTCCCCCCTTTTTCCAAATTCTTTTCAAAAGAGGATTCTTTCTCCTTGTAAAGCTCTTTCTTCCTCCTTTCATCCTTCCACCATTGTTTCCTTTCTTTCAAGAACTCAAAACCCATAAACTCCATAAAGAAATTTCGGATTTTGGTGTTCTCTCCTTGGCCGAAAATACCCTCTCCTCCAAGCTAGGGTTTCATCATCTTCAAGCTCAAGAAAAGCCTCTTGATTTGGTAAGTTCCCCTTCAAAACTCTCCTCTTTTCAAGAAAGATCATAGCTTTATGTTCCCATGAGTTAGAGGATAGGCTCTTTGATGATGGGTTGTGTATGCACAAGAATTTGGGGGGTTTTATGCAAAGTTACAATAGGGCCGAAATTTGTAGGGGCTTTTATGTAAAAAGGGGGCTGAAATTTGTAGGGGCTTTTATGCAAAAATGGGACTGAAATTTTGTGGCTTGGACTGCATGTCCATTTGGTCGAAAATTTGAGGGGTGCTTTATGCAAGAAAACCAATGTTGTTTGAGGGGTTTATTTGCAAAAAAGCAACCCACAAAGTGTAGAGGGGTTTATTTGCAAAAGGGCTGAAATTTAGGGCTGAAATTCCAAAAGTTTAGACCACATCCCAATAACCAAAGTTTTGGTAAAGGCATGTGGGCGTTTAAATTGAAATTTGTGTAGGGGTCTATATGCAAAATTGGCTAAATTCTACAAAAGGGCTTATTTGTAAAATTAACCATTAATTAAAGTTCTTAATTTCCCTTTTAAATTTCGTGTATGCATATTTTAGATTGTACCTGACTTGCTGCTCTTCGTTGCAGATTTTCAATGTCGCCGCGCCGATCTTGACCTCGTAGGAGTCGTTCTCATTCGCAGCACAGCGAGGAAGAGGTTCCCGCGACATCTTTTCCAGCGGCCTCTTTCTTTGGGGGTGAGAATTTACATTTCCTGTATCCCTGATTGACCTCTTCGCGGGTCATGAAGGAAGAACCGACACCCTCCTACGCGGGGGTTAAGGTTTCAGACTTGTCTTGCTTGGCCAATTTAAGTCTTCTGGTATATTGGGGCAATTTTGTGTCGTCCTATACCTTATAGGTCGGTGTATGTTACCACGTTATTTACGTGATGATGTATACCGTTCTTCCAGTGTAGGACACTCAAAATCGTCACTCCAATTATTCCGTGAATGAGCTTATCGTTCTTCTTATGAGATGGATTTTCTGACTCTATCCTTGTGTTTTATTGCAGTAGAGTTTCCCGCGGGTAGCCTTCCTCCTCATGCCAATACTGGTTGTAGCCGGGAGGTCTTCTCTTCAGCTTCTCTCAGGCAGGCCGTTAGTCCACTCCCTCGATTTGACAGAGATCGCTCCGACGAATCCTGTCGCTTGATACGGGAAGGAGGGCGTCATTGCCTGCGCCAGCTTATTACGGATGCCTCCTTTACTGCGGATTCTACCTCTACTCAGGCTTTAAAGAAGCCGAGTTTCCTGTTCGGAGATCACATCGAGGATCCTGCTACGTTGACCCTTACCGAAGAACACTGGCTGACTCTCGACGAAGGAGCTCCCTTGTACATTCCCTCCATTCCGCGTCAATATTCTTTCAGTCACTTGAAGGGACAGGCCATGGAGCGACAGATGTCTTGGTACCTTACTGATGATGCTGAGCGAGTCCAGTGTGGATATGCCTCTTATCACAAGACTCCTGGTTCTAGCGGGTATCATGATGTTCGTGGTCTTCGACCAGGGATCATGGGCCTTGACACTGCACCCCCAGGCGAGGTGTCAGCAGCTGCTCCAACCGTGATTAACCGTCTGGCTCTTCTTGGGAGAAGGTTACCTCCACCGGATTATAGATGTTATGGTTGGGCTTCCTCACTAGCCATGGGATGGTGGGCACGCATGACCAGTTTCGTCTTGGCGCGTTGGGAGAGGGATTTGAAGAGCAGTGGATTGTATGCACCTATACGAGCCACCATGTACGGAATCCCGGTCAGCTGTCGCCATTTCTTGGCGTTGTTAGAGACCTACATGCCTGACAGTAACACCTTCCTGACCAGCGGTGGCGAGTTAGGGTTGGCCTTGCATGAGATACATCAGGTTTCTGGTCTTCCGATGGGGGATTGTCCATATCAGGAGTATTTTCCCTCGAACCAGCAGTTGGAGTGGATGAAGAAAGATACTCCCGATATGTATGACACTCTCTGGGATCTTACTTGTCACTATTATACCTCCTTGGTCCAGACTTCTGCTCTAGCGAAAAGGAAGAGGCAGATCAGCTTGAAGCAGTTTGCTAGCTATTTGTTCCAGAATTTGGAGGGTAATTCCAGCGAGCCCATTCGTGAATTAGACGTGTTGACCCCTACCGCAATTAATGAGTTGTTGGAGAAGGCTGAGGCTCGTTCTTACACCATTGCCAGTGCTGAGGGAGCTTTTCCTGCGGGAACCAAGTTCCGTTCTTTTCTCTGCCGTGCACAGAAGTCCATTGGGCCCCGGACTCTACTAGCAGGCTACCTTCCCCTTTGGTTGAAGAAATGTGTTGTCCCGTACCAGCCTTCAGACGCTCTACCTATCGAGGTGCTCTTCCCTGCAGTTCAGCTAGCTTACGGGAGAGAGCTTTCCCTGCTCCCAGCGATGGTTGCTGGCATCCATTGCGGGCTTAGGTGTCTAGTCAGCAGTTTTACCCAGATGGGTTCTGAACCATCGACTGAGCTTATTTGTCCGAAGGTCGAGCTTCCTTATGCATATCTGATGGCGTGGCTTGTCCTTCACCGTCCTGACTTGATATCGGCGCCCAGCGTTGTTGATGTCCCCGTTCCTTTCATGCAGCTGTTGGAGAAGAGCAGATGGCTTAAGAGCTGGGAGTTCTTCAAGTGTTTTCCTCACTTTTCGGGTCGCTATGGTGACGTGCTGATTGACGAGGAGAAACCTAGAAGTGATCGGACTGTTCTCGACGTTGGTTGTTTCCGCTGGTTAGTGAACATCCGCGTTGGGTATCTTGTTCTCCGGGTGAAGAATCGATGCCACATAGAGCCTTACGTTCCCTGCCGCTTTGCTCGTCAGTTCGGCTATGACCAACTATATGTTTTGAATCCAAGCCGTGGTCTGCAGGTTGAGGGAGGGCTTATTAATGGTGTACGAGCATGGCTGTGGACTATGGTGGGCTGCACTAGAGCCCATTTTGCTCTTCCTTCATATAGGCGTAAGCCGCTGACCACTTTCCTCAGTTGCAAGTGGTTCCTTTCCGCCTATGAATCCATAGGTGTGAGGAGCCTTTCATAGTTACAGTTCGAGCACTCGGTCCGAGCTGCTATGATGGCTGCTCGCAGGGCTGAGCTTGCTCAGAAGCAGAGAAAGGGGCATGCCAAATCTCTTCTCACAGATGATGAAGAGCTCCTTCCTACGGGTGACGACGACGAGACTTCTGAGGAAGAATATGTGGATGTAGATACCGACAGAGAAGAACTCGATACAGGTTTGTCATGCTCTTTAATTTTCCTTCTCCATTCTAATTGGTATAAACGACAGATCTTGTTCGTTTAATGAAATGATCATTGTCACTTTAGGTAGGACAGTTGACGATCATGAATCGCCAGCTCCTCGTTATACGAGCTCAGGGCCTGACGATCGAGCTCCCACGCACGTTGAGACGTGTGACAAGTCTGTGCATGACCGACCTGTTGGTCCTAGGAGGGCTGGCGCCCCGAAAAGGAAGAAGACCGCTCATAAACCGCACGACGGTCAGCGTCCTTATGGAGTGGATTTAGGAAGCATTGCCGATGGAGGGGAAGGTAATATTTATTTTTATTGCTTTAAGGTGATTTACCTTTTGGGATTCGTAACCATGTTTTATGCTCCAGGGTTCTTTGAAGAGGGCGAACTTCCACCGGGTTCGGTATCTCCTGGATCTGATAACATGGACTGCTTCATGCAGCAGATGTGCGACGCCCTTCATGACGGTTCTCTGGGCATCGATCTAAACATTGATCTTGAGCAGGTGAATAGCGTTGAGCCCATCGTCCCATATTCAGGTATATCTACATCCAATGATACCCTCCTCAAGCATGGGGAAAGAGAATCTTCTGTTTTTGCTGCAGGTATTTCTGAGCTTTCCTTTCCTCCTCATCTTCCAACATTTATGTTATCCTGCAGATGTCACGATGGAAGAGCCAGTTGAGGATGGAGCCTATCATGATGTAGGTTTCGAGGAACATGGGTGTGCTCCTGTACCAAGTTTCTCGAAACCCGACGCTGGATTATTAGCCGATATGTTGGCTGAGCAGGCCACCAGAAGAACCGTGGGACCACCCTTTGAGAGTGATTCATTCACAGGTATATATCTGATTCCCTTCATCTTGCCTGATCTTTTGTCTGACTAACGAAGGATTAATATTACAGCGCCAGTCATTGGGATTAACCCAATATCGATTCCCGGCATATCTAGCTTACCTCGGAGTGACGGACTTGCAGGTGCGCATACGATTTAGGGACATCGTACTCCTCTTTATTTATCTGACTTTTGACTAATATATGGGTGCAATCATAGGACCAGCCACCGGGACTGATACTCTTATGACTCCTAGCATTCCCCGGATACCTGAGGATGATGGACCTACAGGTATGCAGATGACCTTATCATCCCAATCCTCCTTATTCGTCTAAATTTTTATTTTGACTAATAAAGAAGTGCAACTATAGGACCAGCCGTTGTGCCTGATGCCACTACAGTTTCTGGGACTGATAGTTT